TGTCCACTTGGCGCTCCATAACGTTTAAGAGCCACTCTGTGGCTTCATTGATTAGTTAAGTTAAATTTTCTGCAGAATATTGCTTGATTTGTGTTTGTACAGTTTGAGTGGATTAAGGGTGGATACTTTTAATCTACGTCCTGCTCAGATTCCTAACCCTAGCCATCCATAACATAATCTAGTAGCAGTAGCTGTGAAGTTGATTTTTATAAGACAGTCTCATTTCTAGATGCAATTTGAATTCATGAAAGGGGAAATCTGCAGGAGTAAATAACCTGTTGTTCTAACCTGAAATAGCATGTGATTAAGCTACTTTGCTAAATAACGAGATTTTTTTAGTTAACTGATTCAACACAGCACTCAGCAGCATGACTTCTTTGTACTAATCATCAAGTTACTGATTGTGAAAGTTAATTTCATGCTGCCCTTTAATTCAGGGATGTTTTTTAGAACAAGTCTTTTGGGATACCATTTTAATGTGTTTCATCAATCCAGATGAGTTATTTCATAGAGCAGCAGAGCCAAATGTCTGTCATCTAACTACTTGGGGATAATTCTATATCCCAGAAAACCAAATCCCCTTTTCACTGAATCTTCACAGAATTCCCCTCGCATGTGGCAGTCACTTCTATTGTGAAACAATGTAAATTTTCCTCTTGATTTAAATGGCAAATAAAGGGCTATGTTAAATATATATTTTTGAACTCTGATATTCTCTCCTATATCTCTTTCAGTATTTGACTATTTAAATCAATTGAATATTTAATGCAATGAGAAAATAAAAATGGTAAAGACTAATGTATTGTTTTATATACTGGTAGGATTACCTTGTCTCCTTTAGCCAATACTCAGACTTTCACAGCTGCAAGAATGCTACTGTAACAGAGAAATGTTGTCAAGAGAGGAGGTTCTTTACAGTATCTCTGAAAAAGATGCTAAAACTAGCATTGTGGGATTCCATGGTCATTGTGCTTTCATACCTTCTATATTTAACGTGATAGAATTCACAAGTAAAAAGTTCTTTTTTCTAACTGCCAGCCCTTGGGTCTGAGAGTCAAGCTGGCTTCTTTCCATCTTGCACTTCACACTGTAAGGTTCTGTAGGCAAAATTAGATACACTTGTTGCTCTTCCACTTATGCTGGTAATGGCGAGTATGCAAGCCCACTGTTTTCCCTGGAGTTCTATAGATGTAATCGATGCTTGCTTAGTAACATTCTGTTGATGATCTCAAGACTATGTAATATAGCTTACTCAGCGTTAGCGGTGCAGGACAATAAGAAAAAATAAGGAAAAAAATATTGCTGACTGAAGTATGCAAATATGACTTTGTATACACAAAACAGCAGATTTATTGGGTAAGGAGGTACCATCTTTATAAAGTGGCCTTTCAGAGCAGAACCATATTTGAATCATTTTAATCTTTATATATATATTCTTTAGTTTTGTAAATAGATGATTTTTTCAGTTGGTTATTAGATTCATTCTATTCTTCTGTTAATATATTGACACAGCCTTGAGTGAAATACATTATCTAGATCAGTTTAATAATCAGTCTAGTTAAACTAGTGGAACCCCCCAATATAGACACACTTAAACTGGTTTAATTCTTGCTTACATTTATTTATATTAAATTGGTAAATTTACTGGCAAAAGCTAAACTGATTTAAACAAAGGGTTAAACCAGTTTAAGTGTATGTCAGAGAGTTTCACTGGTTTAAACCAGGGCAGTAACTGATCTGGTTAAATATCTGGTCAGTTTGTTTCTAGTATAAACAAGGCCTTTTTCACATTGTAACTTTATTCTAGTTTGCCAAACCACAATAAACTTGAATTTGTAAATTATGATGAAAACAGGTAGACTTGTGGGTGCATTGTATTTCATTTTGGACTTAATTATCATGTAACTGAATACTCATTGTTTGAGGTCTTGCAAAAGTTAGAAAGAGCAATGCTGGATATAGATATCGAAGAGCTTTCAAGTACCTTCCTCAGAGTATATATTGCTTGAGTTGAGACATTCTTCTCGTTGTTGCATAGCACTGCACTGACAAAATGTAGGTTTTCTGTGATTAACTTTATGAAAGAAGCTCCATGCACATGAATGCAGCCCAATTCAGAGATTATTTTTAGCTATTGTCTATTGGCTTGAAGAAGGATCAGAAATGAAATGAAATGTACTCAAGGCACAGTCTCAGTGATCATTCAATAGCAAATGTGACTGGAGGACTAGACTAGTCCTAATCAGTGTGACTGTATGATGTCTAGATTTTTAATCTTGTTGAACAATAACAATACTGTTGGCGAGATCAAGCTTGTCAGGGAAAGTAAATCACAAATAGCGATGAAACATCTCTTCTCTACCTCATAAATTGTTACCTCAGGGCATGTCTACATGAACACTTATTGTTGTAACGATACTGCCTTTGGTGGGACACAACTGAGAGTTTCAATTCGGGACAAATTGCTTAGAGCAGGGCAGTGACAGCCGAAGGCTGGCTTTCCTTTACTTCTAAGGCATACCAAACAGAGAGGACTTCGGTCCCACGGCTAACCATAAGTCATACAAGCAATTCCCTTAGACACTCTTGTTTCCCAGTATCACTACCAGCACCACTCCTTATGGGGACGAATAGTTATGAAAACCAGTACCCCAGTAAAAGAAAAAAGGTTCTCCTGATCCCAAAGGACCAAGCCCCAGACCCAGGTCAATATATGTCAGATCTTACCCACAAATCACGCTGTTGCCAATCCTTTAAAATCTAAAGGTTTATTCATAAAAAGAAAGAAATATAGATGAGAATTAAATTGGTTACATGGAATCAGTTACATACAGCAATGGCAAAGTTCTTGGTTCAGGCTTGTAGCAGTGATGGAATTAACTGCAGGTTCAAATCAAGTCTCTGGAGTACATCCACAGCTGGGATGGGTCATTCAGTCCTTTGTTTAGAGCTTCAGTTTGCAGCAAGGTTCCTCCAGAAGTAAGAAGCAAGATTGAAGACAAGATGGAGGAGATACAGCAGCCTCTTATAATCTCTTGCCATGTGGCCTCTGCTTTCTTTGTTCCAAAGACAAGCCATCCAGCATATGGCATGGAAAAACCTTAGAGTTTTGTCCATAGGCATGTCCCTGCATGCCTTGCTGAGTCACAAGGTGTATCTGCCTTCTCTGAATGGGTCAGTTGTATAGCTGATGGTCCTTAATGGGTCATCCAGCAGGCTAGATAGTGCTAATGCCAAATTGTCTGGGTTATCACCCAGAAACATAGCACAAGTTTGAAATACAGACAGTGCGGAGCCAATACTTATAACTTTAAATACAAAAATGATACTTGCATACAGATAGCATAATCATAACCAGAAAATCATAACCTTGTCTTAGACACCTTACATGACAACCTTTGTACAATATTTGCTGCAAATATATAACAGTGGTTGCAACAATTATCTATACGGTCATAGTTTATATCAATAACGTCACACCCCCAACGCAAAATTGATGCAGGAAGGGATGACGCAAACATCGCTGACTGCATCCCAAGAGCTCTCCATTCTTGGTTCTGTCTTACTACAGCTAATATTGGTGTATAACAGACATGGTTTATCCACGTCATGTTCAGTAACGTCACAATTGTATGGTAAGATGGGATGTAAATCTACAGCACTTCAGCAGGCTGTGTACTAACTATCGGTGTGGACCCTGCTGCTGCACTCAAAAAGTTCCCTAGTGCATGTTGATGTGCTGCCGTTTGAAAGAGCAATATGTCAAAACGCACTAGGGTACTTTTAGAGTACCGCAGTGGGGTCCAAATGGACAATTAGTGTGCAGCATGCTCTAGCACTGTAGATTTACACCTCAGTCGAGATGACACACTGAGGGTGGCCTTATGGGAGTTATATGCCCCCCCTCCAAGATTTGCTGCTTGGCATGTAATGAGCATGCTCAGTAACATCTGCTGAAGCTGCTGCTCTCACTTTGGCTCCCCACCATCGGCAGATACGGCAATAAGTGTTTGTGCAGATGTGCCCTCAGGAACAGTATGGAATGTTATGAAATGACTCTACCTAATCCAGTAGAGCAGGGTGGGCAAACTATGGCCCGTAGGCCAGATCCGGCCCACGAGCTCGCGCTGGGGTGGCGGGTTGGGGGCCACACTACACGGGTCGGGGGCTGCACCATGCGGCTTGGCCCCACTCTGGCACTCCAGCCAGGGCGCCGAGTCAGGGGCCGCACCACACTGCTCAGCCCTCCTCTGGTGCTCCAGCCGGGGTGGCGGGTCGGGGGCCACACCACACGGCTCGTCCCAGCTCCGGCACTCTAGCTGGGGTGCCAGGCTGGGGGCCGCACCATGTGGCTCCCAGAAGCCGTGGCATGCCCCCTGTCCGAGGGTTGCAGGCCGCTCCACTCCTAGGAGCCAGAGAAGGGCCATGCCACGGCTTCTGGGAACCACTTGAGGTAAGTGCCGCTCAGAGCCGGCACCCCTGAGCCTCTCCCCATGCCCCAACCCCCTTCCCCAGCCCTGATCCCCCTCCTGTTCTCCAAACCTCTCAATCCCAGCACGGAGCACCCTCCTGCACCCCAAACCTCTCATCCCCAGCCCAGAGCCTGCACCCTTCCTGCACCCTTGTCCCAGCCCTGAACCCCCTCCGAACCCCTCGGTCCCAGTCCAGAATACCTTCCTACACCTCAAACTCATCCCTAGCTCCACCCCAGAGCTTGCACCCTCAACCAGAGCCCTCACCCCCTCCTGTACCCCATCCCCAATTTTGAGAGCATTCATGGCCTGTCATACAATTTCTATTCCCCAAAAAGTTTGCCCACCCATGCAGTAGAGTGTCAGACTGTTTGCTCTTGTCCAAATAACTTAGGTTACCAGTAGAAATCAGCTGCAGTGAATCTCGTTAATAACATCCACCAGAAACCTTAGTGGCTGCAGGATGAGAAGAGACTGTGAAACATATGAGTATCGATTGGTCAAGAATTTCTTTTTTGTGTTATGCAGTGAATGATCTGGGAGGTGACTTCAAAGGACATGGCAAAAGCTCCTCAGCGGCTGACAAAGTTGTTGAAGAAATAAGAGCAAAAGGAGGAAAAGCAGTAGCTAACTATGGTATGTTATTTTCCATAATAGATTTAATAAGGACACTTCATTTATGGAAATAGTACATTCAGCTTTTACCAAATGAAAAAGTAACAGTTGGTGACAAAGGACTACTCCAATACTATTAGTAATTTAATTCATTCAATGAGATAAAACATTGTTCGGAGGCTGGGGGAGATGGAGACATAAAGCATCTTAAAATGAAATCTCTGATTTCTTTATTCACTTGAACTCTTGGCACCGGTATGCTGGAGGGGAGGAGCAATCCCTCCCCCCCCCCCCGCAAAAGGTAGTCTTTTCTGTGACTTAGCAAGCTTATCATTTAGCCAACATAGAAACTAGACTGCCTGTTTTTAGTGAGTTTAGCTTCTTGGTTTTCATGTAATGTTAAAATGCTGCACTGTTTGGCTTGTGCAGGAATTGCAGTGGGCTAATTGCCTGCAGTGGCTAAAATTTCATTTTACCCTATAGGGATTTCACATGAGCAATTCACTTTTTCTTTTTAAATGCATCACATTCCATGTGGTTATCTACATCCTAGAAGTACATTGTATACAGTAATATGTGGCTGTGTAACTAATAAATGATTTTATTTGGAGATCACACCACTACCTGTTTTGTTTACAGATTCCGTGGAGGCTGGTGAGAAGCTTGTGCAGACAGCCCTTGAAGCTTTTGGGAGGATAGGTACAATTATTAACTTATAACTTGTTTGTTTGTGAATGCAAAGTCATCTTAAGCAGTGCAGTTAACAATCAAGAGTTAGTGATAACATGTACAGGAAATTCAATGTAATTAAATTCAAGATTGTGGTGTTCTATTCTCTGTAGTCCTAAACAAATGAAAAAGCCGCTTCCCAGTAACTAGAGGTTAGTAGTTGCTAGTATAAAAGAAAATTGCAAGCTTTATCTAAGTAATTATTTTGAGCATTTAGAGTGTTTATGGAAGGAACACTATTCCTTCAATATGTATAAATGACAGTACATCTTTTTCTGTAAGTAAGTGTTGTCCGGCTATGCCGGAAGGAGGACAGGACACACTGGATGTGGTATAATTAGGATGCAACTTTATTCCTAAATGTCTGGGAGTGCCCAACAGATAAAAGTGTACAGTGCAGGTAATTCCATAATCATTTACACATACTGAGACAGGCTGCTGTCAGCTCTCCCTCTTTTCCCATCCTGATCCCCAGCCAACCCACTGCTGGGACCCTGCCACCCTGATTGTAGGTTAAGGGGGGCTATAAAGGAGTGGGGGGTTGATTCCCTGCTGTACCAGTTAGAGGAGCCCTGAATCTTTCCCTGTTTCTGCTCCTTTAAATAACCCCCTGAAATCCTTTACTAATTCATTTGATCTGCTCACCATCGCCTTTCCCTGTGGAGTACCTGCACCAAACATTGGCTCCATGATTACGTAATGAGTTACGACATCATAGCCCAATCCCCGTTTCGTGTTCATCCTAGCTAAGCTCCCAACCCCCTGTGGGAAAGGCAACCCCCCCCACCACCACTTTGCCTTGGCTAATCTTGCAGTAAGGGAAAAAGTCCTTCCCAGCCCCCTGAGAAAGGAGCGACGAGTGTAATGCCCACAACAGATCATGACAAAACCTGCTATTTAGCTACTTCCAAAGATGGGAGGGTGGATGCTGTTCCACCTGGTCCAGGTAAAAAAGGGCGTTTCCTGCACTGCTGTGCACCTAAATAGTGCCTCTCTCTCTTCCATTCACTTGTGGGGTTGGTCAGCATCCCCACACAAACCTGATCTGAAGCTGCCTCAGCCAGTCATTCTGGCTCTCTAGCTGTTAAAGAGGCCACACACCTTTTCCTACAAGACAGACAACGGTACCCACTCCATAATGTGCACTGTGGTCATTGTGGATGACTTCTGTAGGGGCTGAATCTGTCAGGAATATATAAAAGTTTATTATAACGTTAGTATCATCTCTCTTTTTACATAGGGTAGAAAGGAACTCTGATTCCCCTTATGCATCTGTTTTAAGGTAGCATGTTGTTGCTTTTACACCCTTTATTAAAGGGAGACCAATGATTTAGAAATAACATTTCCTTCCGAAATTTTTCGCTTACTATTATTTCTAGCAACACCTAATTATAACTTAAAAATTTGTGCATTTGACAGCACTTCGTGTATAACCAATTTCACAGTTTCCCTTGTTAATACAGTTCTTTCACAGAGAAACAGGAGGTGAAATACAAAAAAGTAATTTTAAGAATCACAACATTTGTCAGGGAAACTCGGGAGAAGTTTTACAACCTGGAACTTGTATGATTTAGTTTTCTGAAACTGACTGGCTTTGAAGGTGATTGTTGTTCTTTTCATATAAACACTGAATGTGGTAACATAAAACAGAAGGTGAATTTATTTATACTCGTCACTCTTCATCTTCCCCTTCCAAAACAAACAAACAAAACAGAAGCCAACAAATGAGAATTCAACTCTCTCCAGTGGGCTGCTCCATTTAAAAATAAGCATATATCAGGTAATATGGTCTTTCAAGTTATTACCCAATTTTTGGACCTTCCTTACAGGTCTTCTCTAAAGTTAGTTGGCAAATAATGGTTTGCCATTATTTATGGTTTCCCAGTAGATCTCCATTTCTGTGAAGATCAGTCCCCTCGTCTTTATCACCAAGTTGTCCTTCTCTCAAAGATTGCTCCAGACACTTGCCAACTGTCATCGTAGAACAATACCCAAAACTTTAGACCTACACCTTGGAAAACTAACACAGCAACCCAGACATCTTAGCATTACTGAATCTATGATAGCCCATATTCTGGGCTGGACTGTCATTTCAGTTTATCATTATTCCAGGATAAAAGAGAACTTGCATTCCAAGACAGAGAAAATATACTTCTAAAGCATGGTGACTGGTTCCTGAAATATTGATTGTTCAGTGTTCTTCCTTAAAACAGTATATGCAGCCTTAAAGGAAGTGGATATCATTTCACTTTTTTCTTGGCTTTGTTTTATGTTCGCTTTTAATAACTACTCCGCAGTGTCTGTCTTGCCCTTTTGCTGAAGGTAGTGCAAGGAAGCATAGTTCTGACTTGCTCTGGCACATCTAAAAGACAGAATTATTGATACACATAAATAGAGAGCAAACTTTGATCTGTTTTTTTTATCATGCTATTATGTAGCTAGTCATTTAATCCCTGATGAACAGAATTGAAAGAATGTTGAAGAGATTCATGAAGAGTTAAAGATGCTCAGTAACATTTGAGTAATTCTCTTTACTTTTGCCTTACCTTAGTGAAGAATAGACTGTTGTGGTGCTACAAAGAGTAAAAGATCCCAAACGTTTTCTTAATTAATAAAGTTTGTGGTTTTGCAAATGCTTGTCAGTATTAAAGGAATAATCATTATCTAACTTTTTACTTTTGGCTGAGTTCCTGGAAATTTGGTCAGAGCTGAGGAATGGATAAGAAAAAAAGCAAATAAAACTCTATAAAGCATTAAGCTTTTGTGTGTTAATTTTTCTTCCATTTCTTCACTTATCTCTTGCCCTCTCTTCCCACTTCTGTCTTCTGTTTTCATTCTCTCCTTTTATTTCCAACCATTTCCTTCTTTCTACTGTTTTCTTCAATCCTCTTATTTTTCCATCTTCTCCCTCTGTTTTCTCTCGATCTGTTCCATTTCTCCCTTAAACTAAACAGTTTTCCCCTTCTGTATATTTCTTTCTCCTGCCCTGATGTTCGCATTCCCTTATGCTCAGGGTAGCATGTGCAGAACGGAAACCTAGGCAGTGAGTGATGAAAAACTGAGTGGGTGGTTCTGAAGCTCCCTTTCTTACCTTATTGTTGGTTGTGGGTCTGAGTTACGTTACAGGCTTTCTGACTCTTTGACCATGGTGCCACCCACTTTGAGTTTGGGAGCATTCCACTTTTATGTTACCATAAATCATGTCATTCAGAATTCGTAGCAAGTAGCATCATTGATCTGGGCAGTCTCATCACTACAGACTTGAGCGTGATGTCACTGAGGAAGGGGGCCGGTTTATGGCACCTTCCCATCAGTGCTTAATGTTGTCATCTCAACAGCTGCGTCTACTTATGAGGCTTCACTGCAGCCTGTGGCAGACTGGGACTACATGTCCCCAAATACTTTGAAACATAAGGAAAGCCATGCACTTTCCAATTCTGGAACAGCCCTAGTCAGTATGAGTGAGCAACTATTTAACAATTATAACAAACTGTATGTGTGCGCTTATAACCTAGATTTTGAAGGCAGGAGCAGAGTTAAAGAAGGTGCAGATTCATACTCATTCATACTTAAAAATGTTTTGTTTTTGTGTTCTTTGCAGATATTGTTATAAACAATGCTGGGTAAGTAAATATGAAGGTAGCTTTTCCCCACTGTTGTACCATATTCTAATCCTTTTGTTTAAATACATGTTCACCTTCCTTTTTTGTTTTCCTGACAACGTATTTTAGGATTCTGAGGGACCGTTCATTTGCTAGGATAAGTGATGAAGACTGGGGTAAGTTGATTAACTTTGAAGTAGTGAAGGTTTCTAGACGCTAAGTAAATGCCACCCCATCCTCATGAGAGTGTGAGGGGCACAGATTGGGGTGTGTGTGTTTGTACCTGACCTTAGAGATTCACACATCGCCTGCAAATCTCAGCTCCAAGATGCTTAATTGGTTATCGGCTTTCACATTGGGTCAGTGTTGCAATCCATACTGGACTCCTGCAAATGTTGCCCCCATCTCAGGGGGAAAAAAAAAAGCACTCATAAAAACCAGACCTCCTGGTTAAGGCTGTCAGGAAAAACCCACATGGGAAACATGCACCAATTTTTCCATGTGGGAAAAATGCATTTGTAACCCAAAGAAACCCCTGCAACCCTCAGCAGTCCAGAAAGACAGACCACACCCAAAACCTATAACAAAGGAAGGGTGGTGTGAAGCTGCAGTGCCCAGTGGCAGTCAGAACAGGACAGCAAGCAAATACCCCTCAGTGAAGTGATGGGGAATGAGCACCCAATTAATTCCCCAAAAGACTGCCAGTAAGAGGCAGGAACTGCAGAAAAAGACAGCCCATGGCTATGCTTAAGCTATGTGATACCGTGAGCTCCATGTGCTAGAGCTGCACACAGGACAAGAAGGGGAGCAGGGAGAAAACCAGCCTAGTCAGTTCAAATGCCCATCCCACAGCATTTCAAAATGTAATTGTAAAAAATACAATGCAGATGTCCAGACTGTGATTAAATTAGCTGAGTGTGAATGAAGTGAGATGAAGCTAAATAGGCTTCTCATTTTTTTTCTTGGAGGAAGTAGAAACTGCATATTTATTTTGCCACAAAAGAGAAAAGAATCAAATGTCTGTTCAACTAATTTGATTGTAGATATAATTCATAGAGTTCATTTGAAGGGATCATTCCTGGTCACCAGAGCTGCATGGAATCATATGAAAAATCAGAAGTTTGGAAGGTAAAACTGTATAAGGTTAATTTTTTCATCAGTAAACAGTAGATTGACATGATCTTTCTGACGCTGCAATGGATTACTTGATAATTCTTGCTCCCCTTTAGTCAATGGGAAGGAAATAATCACTTTGTGCCCAAATGTGTGAGGTTGACATCCATTTGTTTCCTGCCTTCTCCTACAAACACACTGTGGATAACATCCTAACAATTTTATTTTTTTTTTGAAGTTATTTTTGTCTTTCAATAAACATCTCCAGATTTATTGTGAAGATTTGTGTGTGGGCTCTGCCTGGTGTGTTCCCAAAGTTGATGTGGTGCTGTCAGTTCACATTACATCCAGATTTATATTTTTCACCTTCTTCTATTCTTTGTAGCAATTGTCCTGGTGTTTTGGCAATCTGGCTGTTTAGCCTGATCCACCTAGAAGTTGAAGATTAAATTAGTTTGTGCTTCATTCTGTGACCAAATGGCATTCTGTGGCTGAGTATGAAGTGAGAAGGAGAGATTGGTAGCAAAATATTTTGCCCATTTGATCACTTATTGGGCATAATTTTGGGAATTGCATCCCTGTATATATATGACATAATTCTTCTCTTGCTCTGTTTTGTAAATCACTTTGTTTATTGCCAAATGATGTTAGTATTATTTACCAAATGTATCTTCACATAATGTGTAGAAATGTGTTACTTGCAGAATGTCTGCTTCTGTACACTTTTTAGCTTTTTCTCACCTTGACTCTCTTAACATAACCAAAGCACCTTTATTTGGACTGAAGATGGTGAAATTGTGTTGATGTAGCAGTTGGGAATGACGTTGAGACAGATTCTTATGTCAGTTACGCTTGTGTTAACTTGGAGTGACTCTCGTTAAGTGCAGCTACTGTAGATACACACTCTGTGTAATTCAGATCAGAATCGGGACTGGTTATGGTGAGAATCATTTTTAACTGCTCAAAAAGGATATGTGACATGCAGTAGGCGCTGATTCAGTCAAGTACTTAAACTTGTGTCTAACTTTAATCATGTCAGTAGTGCTATTGATTACGTAGGGTGTGGGTGAAAACAGTTTTCAACTTAGCAAAATTTTCTGTTTGTCAAAGCTATTTTTAAGATGTAAAAATATCTCCATATGAAATATGTGGTTAAGTGCAAACATACATTTCATTAGTGCTCTCCCCAGTTATAACAAAATAGTTGTGCCATTATGCCAGTGGGTTGCAAGTTGCTATTTCTGTTCTAATATGAGACCAAATCCTGAGAGGTGCTGAGCACCTATAACTCCCCTTGCATTACTCTTCAGTATTTGTGCCATTTTTTGCATCACCCCAACACATTAGAAAAAGTTGCTTTTTAATTACTCATACTTTAATTTTGACATGTTGAGATGTTACAGAATTACCATTCCTGTGGTTTCAGGATGTGTAATTGTCAGAAGCCAAAAATGGCTGCAACACATAACCTGGCATCCACTAGAAACTATTAATTTTCTGTTTTTCCTTCTCTTCAAGAATAATTATGACTTCTTCAGCTGCTGGAATATATGGCAACTTTGGTCAGGCAAACTACAGTGCTGCCAAACTTGGCCTTTTTGGTCTTTCAAATACACTTGCAGTTGAAGGCAGAAAATACAACATCCACAGTAACACAATTGCACCTACTGCTGGGTCGAGGCTGACTCAGACTATCATGCCACAAGGTAAGTAACTTGAGCTCGTGAGAATTGAGTCTTTGCAAGTTGGAGCACAACCAGTTTTCTCACCAATTGAAACGTTCCATTCCTTTACACTTCAGAAACTCTTTTCTTGTCTATTTATGATAAATGATCTTTCCAGTTTCAGGTGCTGTAAGGAAGTAAGACATCAGAAGAGAGCTCTAGTGGCCTTTATAATTCACTAGAATTGTTTTATGTGCTGAAACTTTGTCACTGTAGCTTTATTCATTTCCCCATTTTCTTCAGTAGGTATTGGATCAGGGCTGTATTTGTGGTGTTTGCATTTATTGTAATATTACTGTTTGTTTGCAATGTGGTATATGTTTCACAAAATATGGAGTAGACAAAGCTGACCTGAGTAAATTAAAACAGGAGATGAGAGAAGGTAGATAAGTCTGACATAACACATTGAGCAACTAGCAGAATGCACCCTTTACATACCATATACTTATTAAACTTGGACTGGATTATACTAATATAATATTATTATAATGGATTGTGTGAAAGGCTATACAGGAAAATGTTTTGAGAAGGGTTTTGAAGAAGATGGTGAATAAATAAATGAAAAGATGAGATCAGAGGTTTGGGTTGGTTGAAGTTTTTCTGATGCAGTTTAGTTACTTAGACTGGTCTTGTTAGTCTCCACATAAGAGGAAAGTAGGCAAAACTTGGAGCACTAAGAGTTATAGATTTTTAATGCCAGAAGGAACCATTATGATGATGTAGTCTGCAAAACACAGGCCTTGGAACTGTCCCCAGAAAATGTACTACTTTGTAGTAATATAACGAACTGCGAGCCCAATTTTTAAACATTTCAGAAATTGACTATTTATATCAGCTTTTGATGCATGTGACGGGGTACGACTGACCACTGTGGAGCCTCCTGCTGGCTGTCATGGGAATTAGCTCTGATCTCTATAGCGCCCTCTTCTTGTGGTGCCTCGCCACTGTCACTTTTGTTCCGAGACCCGTGCGTCCTCTTCAGTGACGCTGCCCTCCAGGGGATCTGCAATCTCTGTCCAGCCACTCCCTCAGTGGCAACTGCAGTCCATTGTCCCAGGGACACTTCCCATGTGGCTCCAGCATCCTCTTCTGCCCTTACCTCAAGGCCTCAGCCTGCAGGCCCTAGCAGCCAGCCAGGAGCTCTCTCTAGCTCCCCCAGTTTCTGCTTGCAGCACAACTCTGTTCCAGGTGCTGGCACTCCCTCCTCCTCCTAGGACCCTGATCTTCTCCCCTTAAGCTCCACTCAGCTACTGATCTCTGTTCTGCCCTCGCAGTCCTCCTTATATGAGCCTGCTGGCCCATGATTGGCTGCTTCTCTTAGCCCCTTTCCAATCGGCTGACTCCCTAGGGCTGCTTTTTACCTCTTTTCTGCCAGTGCGGTGTAGCTGCCCCATCACAATGCCCAAGTACTAATGTTTTGTTTTATTTATTTTTTTAAGTGCAGCATTTTCTTTATTCCTTTGGAAGTATTTTTTTCCCAATAATATCTAGCTTTTTCCCCTCAAAGCATTCAGAAGGAATCATCATCCCATTCTCTTTAGGAACTAACAGTGTGCCAGACCCAGCAGTACATAGTGTTCGAGGATGGAACTGTATGAAACCAATGCAAGGCTTTTAAATTTGGCATACATAGACTCTGAATCCTTCAGAAGATCCTGTGGTATCTCTTCTGACAGTGTTAGTCTCTCGAAAGTTGAATTGCCTTTATTGTCTCTCATAATTCTTTTGCGGAACTAAACTTATCTGCTCTGCCTTCCTATGATGATGATCATAGATTTTAAGACTAGAAGGGGCTATTAGATCATCTAGTCTGACTTCCTGTATATTATAGGCTATGAAATTTCACCCACCTTACCCTGTATTGAGCCTTATTGTGTTTGGCTAAAGCATACCTTCCAGGAAGGCTTCTAGTCTTGATTTGAAGACGTTGAAATAAAGAGGGCCCACTGCTTCCCTAGGTATGCTGCTTCCAATGGTTTAATCACCTTCACTGTTAAGAACGTGTGCCTTATTTCAAATTTGAATTTGTCTGGCTTCAGCTTTTAGCCATTGGTTCTTGTTATACCTTTCTCCACTTAATTAAAGAGCCATTTAATAGCTGTTTTTTTCTCCCTGTGAAGATACTTGCACACTGCAGTCATCACTCTGCAGTCTTCTTTTTGATATGTTAAACAGATTGAAAGCTCACTGTAAGACAATTTCTTCAATTCTCAAATAATTTTTGTGGCTCTTTTTTGCACCCTCTTCAGTTTTTCAACATTCTTTTTAAAATTTGGACACCAGAACTGTATGCAATAGTATACTGTCTATCTTACCAGTGTCCTATAGAGAAGTGTAAATCATGTCCATACTACTGCTCACTGATCTGGAGCTCACATTGAGTTGTTTGTTCACTATGAACCCTAAATACTTTTCAGAGTCATTTCTTTCCAGGACACAGTCCCGCATTCTGTACATATGGCTTATATTCATTTGCTCTTAGTTAGCCAGTTCCTAATCCATGTAAGGTGTGCTTTTATTGGTATTGCATAGTGCTGATTTTTTAATCAGAATGTTGTGCAGTACTCAGTCAAATGCTTTACCAAAGTTTAAATATATTACATCTGCGTACTTATCTTTATCAACCAGACTTTATCAAAGAATGAAATCAGGTTAGTTTGACAAGACATATTTTCTATAAAACCATGTTGACTGGCATTATTTATATTCCTGTTCTTTATTGATTGAATCCTACATCAGCTTTTCCATTATTTGCGTGGGATTAATGTCAGGCTAACCAGTTTATACTTGTGTCTCTTGGAATATTGGAACAACATTAGTCCTCTTCTAGTCTTCTGGAATTTCCTGGGTATTCTAAATGAACATCAGTGGGCAGAGATCTCATTAGCCAAGTCTTTTAGGACCCTTGGGTGCAAGTTATCCAAGCTTCCTGGTTTAAAATGGGTTTATCACTAGTAGATGTTGTTTAACGTCCTCCTTGATTACTGGAAAGTCCATCATCCACATGTGATACAAATAGATCATCCTTCTTCTTTCGAAATACTGAACAGAAACATGTATTGAACAGTTCTTCTTCGAGTGCTTGCTCATATCCATTCCATTAGGTGTGCGCGCGCCGCGTGCACGATCGTCGGAAGATTTTTACCCTAGCAACACCGGCGGGTCGGCTGTGGAGCCCCCTAGAGTGGCGCCTTCATGGCGCTGAATATATACCCCAGCCGACCCGGCGCCCCCTCAGTTCCTTCTTACTGCCCCTGAGGGTCGTTGGAACTGTGCAGCAGGGCATAGCTGTCCTCCACTCTCCCTAGCGTATTTCGTTGTATCACAGTTATAGTTATAGTTATAGTTCTAGTGTTTGTAGTAAATTAGTTAAGTAGTTTTAAAGTTGTTCTAAATAGTCCAGGGGATTAAGGGGGTCGTCTCCCCCCTTTCTCCCCCGGCCGCGGGGCCGGGCTCATGCCCAACGCT